CTACTATACTCTACAGTGTCAATTCTACTATACTCTACAGTGTCAATTCTACGAAGGGAACAACTTCTGTAAATATAAGTGATGATAATTTTATAATAAATTATGTAATATGTACATGTATTATATATATCTATAAACTTACAATGTTGAAGTGAAATGTTTACTGATGTCATGTTGATATCTTTATGTTTGGACTTTTTCGTAGAAGAGGCATTTGTTGCTAGTGAATTCAGATTTTATTATCGTCATTGCCTATTTGTATTTCAAAGTTCAGGTCGCTAAGCATGAAACATTGAACATTTTTTGAGAAACACACAAATTATGATAATGTCCAGAAACTGTTTAAGTGTATAACACAGCTATAGTAACTGTATAACACAGCTATAGTATCTGTATAACACAGCTATAGTAACTGTATATCACTACTATAGTGACTGTATAACACTACTATAGTAACTGTATAACACAGATATAGTAACTGTATAACACAGCTATAGTATCTGAATAACACAGCTATAGTAACTGTATAACACTACATAGTAACTGTATACCACACCTATAGTAACTGTATAACACAGCTATAGTTACTGTATAACACTGCTATAGTAACTGTATAACACAGCTATAGTATCTGTATAACACAGCTATAGTAACTGTATAACTCAGCTTTAGTAACTGTATACCACAGCTATAGTAACTGAATAACACAGCTATAGTGACTGTATAACACTACTATAGTAACTGTATACTACAGCTATAGTAACTGTATAACACAGCTACAGTAACTGTATAACACTGCTATAGTAACTGTATAACACAGCTATAGTGACTATAACACTACTATAGTAACTGTATAACACACACAGCTATAGTAACTGTATAACACTGCTATGGTAACTGTATAACACTACTATAGTAACTGTATAACACAGATATAGTAACTGTATAACACAGCTATAGTATCTGTATAACACAGCTATAGTAACTGTATATCACTACTATAGTAACTGTATAACACTACTATAGTAAATGTATAACACTACTATAGTAACTGTATATCACAGCTATAGTAACTGTATAACACTGCTATGGTAACTGTATAACACTACTATAGTAACTGGATAACACAGATATAGTGACTGTATAACACAGCAATAGTGACTGTATAACACAGCTATAGTAACTGTATATCACTACTATAGTGACTGTATAACACAGCTATAGGAACTGTATAACACTACTATAGTGACTGTATAATACTACTATAGTAACTGTATAACACTACTATAGTAACTGTATACCACAGCTACAGTAACTGTATAACACGGCTATAGAAACTGTATAACACAGCTATAGTAACTGTATATTACTACTATAGTGACTGTATAACACAGCTATAGGAACTGTATAACACTACTATAGTGACTGTATAACACTACTATAGTAACTGTATACCACAGCTACAGTAACTGTATAACACGGCTATAGAAACTGTATAACACAGCTATAGTAACTGTATATTACTACTATAGTGACTGTATAACACAGCTATAGGAACTGTATAACACTACTATAGTGACTGTATAACACAGCTATAGTAACTGTATACTACTATAGTAACTGTATAACACAGCTACAGTATCTGTATAACACAGCTATAGTAACTGTATATCACTACTATAGTGACTGTATAACACTACTATAGTAACTGTATACCACAGCTATAATAACTGTATAACACAGCTATAGTTACTGTATAACACTGCTATAGTAACTGTATAACACTGCTGTAGTAACCGTATAACACAGCTATAGTAACTGTATAACACAGATATAGTAACTGTATAACACAGCTATAGTAACTGTATACTACTATAGTAACTGTATAACACAGCTATAGTGACTATAACACTACTATAGTAACTGTATAACACAGATATAGTGACTGTATAACACAGATATAGTTACTGTATAACACAGCAATAGTGACTGTATAACACAGCTATAGTAACTGTATTGTCAATTCTAAATTCTACTATACTCTACAATGTCAATTCTCTACAGTGACAATTCTACTATACTCTACAGTGTCAATTCTACGAAGGGAACAACTTCTGTAAATATAAGTGATGATAATTTTATAATAAATTATGTAATATGTACATGTATTATATATATCTATAAACTTACAATGTTGAAGTGAAATGTTTACTGATGTCATGTTGATATCTTTATGTTTGGACTTTTTCGTAGAAGAGTCATTTGTTGCTAGTGAATTCAGATTTTATTAACGTCATTGCCTATTTGTGTTTCAAAGTTCAGGTCGCTAAGCATGAAACATTGAACATTTTTTGAGAAACACACAAATTATGATAATGTCCAGAAACTGTTTAAGTGTATAACACAGCTATAGTAACTGTATAAAACAGCTATAGTAACTGTATAACACAGCTATCGTAACTGTATAACACTGCTATAGTAACTGTATGACACAGCTATAGTAACTGTATAACACAGCTTTAGTAACTGTATATCACTACTATAGTAACTGTATACCACAGCTATAATAACTGTATAACACAGCTATAGTTACTGTATAACACTGCTATAGTAACTGTATAACACTACTATAGTGACTGTATAACACTACTATAGTAACTGTATAACACTGCTATAGTAACTGTATAACACTGCTGTAGTAACCGTATAACACAGCTATAGTAACTGTATAACACTGCTATGGTAACTGTATAACACTACTATAGTAACTGTATACCACAGCTATAATAACTGTATAACACAGCTATAGTTACTGTATAACACTGCTATAGTAACTGTATAACACTACTATAGTAACTGTATACCACAGCTACAGTAACTGTATAACACGGCTATAGAAACTGTATAACACAGCTATAGTAACTGTATATTACTACTATAGTGACTGTATAACACAGCTATAGGAACTGTATAACACTACTATAGTGACTGTATAACACTACTATAGTAACTGTATAACACACACAGCTATAGTAACTGTATAACACTGCTATGGTAACTGTATAACACTACTATAGTAACTGTATTACACAGCTATAGTGACTGTATATCACAGCTATAGTAACGGTATAACACAGCTATAGTAACTGTATAACACAGATATAGTAACTGTATAACACAGCTATAGTATCTGTATATCACAGCTATAGTAACTGTATAACACTACTATAGTAACTGTATAACACAGATATAGTGACTGTATAACACAGATATAGTGACTGTATAACACAGCAATAGTGACTGTATAACACAGCTATAGTAACTGTATAACACTACTATAGTGACTGTATAACACAGCTATAGTAACTGTATACCACAGCTATAGTAACTGTATAACACAGCTATAGTGACTGTATAACACAGCTATAGTAACTGTATAACACAGCTATAGTAACTGAATAACACAGCTATAGTAACTGTATAACACGGCTATAGTAACTGTATAACACAGCTATAGTAACTGTATAACACATCTATAGTAACTGTATAACACAGCTATAGTAACTGAATAACACAGCTATAGTAACTGTATAACACTACTATAGTAACTGTATACCACAGCTATAGTAACTGTATAACACTACTATAGTGACTGTATAACACAGCTATAGTAACTGTATAACATAGCTATAGTAACTGTATAACACTGCTATAGTAACTGTACAACACTACTATAGTAACTGTACAACACTACTATAGTAACTGTACAACACTACTATAGTAACTGTACAACACTACTATAGTAACTGGATAACACTACTATAGTAACTGTATACCACAGCTATAGTAACTGTATAACACTACTATAGTAACTGTATACCACAGCTGTAGTGACTGTATAACACAGCTATAGTGACTGTATAACACTACTATAGTGACTGTATAACACTACTATAGTAACTGTATAACACTACTATAGTAACTGTATAACACTACTATAGTACCTGTATAACACTACTATAGTAACTGTATAACACTACTATAGTACCTGTATAACACTACTATAGTAACTGTATAACACTGCTATAGTAACTGTACAACACTACTATAGTAACTGTATAACACTACTATAGTAACTGTATAACACTACTATAGTACCTGTATAACACTACTATAGTAACTGTATAACACTGCTATAGTAACTGTACAACACTACTATAGTAACTGTACAACACTACTATAGTAACTGTACAACACTACTATAGTAACTGTACAACACTACTATAGTAACTGGATAACACTACTATAGTAACTGTATACCACAGCTATAGTAACTGTATAACACAGCTATAGAAACTGTATAACACTACTATAGTGACTGTATAACACTACTATAGTAACAGTATAACACTACTATAGTAACTGTATAACACAGCTCCAGTAACTGTATATCACAGCTATAGTAACTGTATAACACTACTATAGTGACTGTATAACACAGCTATAGTAACTGTATAACACTGCTATAGTAACTGTACAACACTACTATAGTAACTGTACAACACTACTATAGTAACTGTACAACACTACTATAGTAACTGTACAACACTACTATAGTAACTGTACAACACTACTATAGTAACTGTATAACACTACTATAGTACCTGTATAACACTACTATAGTAACTGTATAACACTGCTATAGTAACTGTACAACACTACTATAGTAACTGTACAACACTACTATAGTAACTGTATAACACTACTATAGTACCTGTATAACACTACTATAGTAACTGTATAACACTACTATAGCGACTGTATAACACAGCTATAGTAACTGTATAACACTGCTATAGTAACTGTACAACACTACTATAGTAACTGTATAACACTACTATAGTGACCCTATAACACTGCCACAGTAATGTAGATGTTATTATTATGAAGAGGTTGCTTCATACATTTTGTATTCGATGCCTGATTACTCTGTAGTAGAAATCACTTTAATTCTTAAGTAGCGACTACCCATGAGAAAGGTTGGTTGAAGTTATTATATACAATTCTGCTGCTGCTCCTTGACTGACAGAAGCATAATGGTTTGTTTGCCACTGTTAGATGTGTGTTCCCGAGTTTCTGTACTCCGACGAGGACGTGAAAGTGCACATACAAACTCATGGAGAGTTTTGCGGAATGGTGCTATGATAACGTAATAAAGGATGAAATTGACCGAAAAGTTAATGGTCTGTAAGGTGTTGGTAACCATGGATACCATTTTGTAGGTATGTCTGTCTCTCTGGTACTCTTTAATGATATAAAAGAAGAATTTTGTGATCTCGCTCGGGGCAACAAGAATGAAGAAGAATATGATGATAGTGATGAGGGTGATGTTGATTCGCCGGTGAGCTGACAAACACGTTGTATCGTCACGACTGTGAAGCAGTCGCAGCTGTTTGCTCTGGTGTAAGGCCCTGATTAGGCATATGTTACAATATAACAAAATAGCCAGTGGTAGGAAATTTCCTAGTATGGCCCACAGAAGTTTGTGAGCGTAAACAAAATTGATGTTGTTAAATAAGTCCCCTCGTGTGGTTGTTACATATTCCTCCGAAACGAAGCATGGCAAATTTTCCTGCTTAAACCTCCAAAGGGAAGGAATGTTAAATCCGACAGAAGTCACTCCTACCACAATAATGGCCATACCCGTTATTTTCACAGAAATAAATTGACGGGAACGGAATGGATGACAGATCGCTAGGTAGCGCATGAATGCAGTAAGCACAGTGAGGAGAGTGCTACTTAGGATGAATGTACTGATCACAGCGATACTGTACATCTTATAGAATAGCATAAACTCGGATCGGTGGAAGCTCACTCGCTCGGGTAGGAATGCGTTCGGAAAGGTACACAGGCAAAACATCATGTCTGATACAGCCAGTGCCACCAGACATATGGTGGTACAGTACTCTACCTCATCCAGAATCTTGTTGTTCTTTTTCTTTGTGAAAATGACGACATTTAGAATATTGCCGACGAAGCCGAAGGCACAGACAAGGGGGATAACTATATCATACAGATAGTACTTCATCAGCTGTAGTGTGACCATCTCAGGCGAGACCGTCTCATTTTGTGTCCTCGGTGTGAAGTTTAGATGAATAAATAATTCTGTACAGTTCATTTTTTGGGTCGCTAGCTTCGTCCAAAATAGGAGTATGTGTTTTTATCTTGTGGACATTTGCTTGAGCATCCAATCAACTATTTATTTTTTATTTGGTCTGGTGATATTTTTTTAAATTGGGAATTTCAGGACTTATCAATCAGTCACACAGAGTATCACAGGTTGTTACAACTATACATCCATATGAAACATTAGCAAAGATCAAATCTAATAATTCCTAAAATTCAAGCACTTGAACGAGTTTGTAGGATTGGAAAAACATCTTAGTGACCCATTCCAGTAGTTGAGTTGCAGGCTAGATAAATGTGTAGAAATCGACAAGCTACGGTGTTTGGGAATTGTCAAATGAAACGGCAATCAGCCAATTACTCCTCCTCACTTCAGTAATGGTGTGTAAATTATTCCATGTAATGTCCGAGCGTTGCTGCAGGTCCAAGGTTAACGAAGACCTTTATAAATCTGAACATGTTGTTCCCACGTCAACCAGCTAGGCCTTCCTCATCTAGTCCACAATACCTGTCGTTTGGCTCCTTCTGAAAAACACAGATAACATCATAATTGAAGGGCTTGTTTTTGGAGGTGACAGATCTTAATTTTTGCAAAATGTTACAACCAGTTCTACTATACTCTACATATGTTTATAGACAATTAGGTTTTGTTTAACTTAGGGGGAAAATACCTCAAAGGAACTTGTGGTTTACAAGTTATAAAAATGTGAAAGTGAAATGTTACAAATTTGTATTATATGTTCTTTGTACTATAAAATCTCATTGTGACCTTTCTCCGGGGAAAAATAGCTTGGTTATGACCCCTGGAGGGACAAAAGAATTTGGTTATGAACTGGTCAGGGGACATTAAAATTAGCTTTTATTTGTCATGACTGGAGGGAACCAAAAAATATCTTTGTTATGTATGACCAACATGGACAAGAGAAATACCTGTCACTGTGGTCAGCATTGTAGAAGTTTGTTACTCCGTGTTGTGTTATCAGTAAGCTACTTTCAACCAATCATCTGATGGATGTTCCATGTCAATCTGTCCATCACGCTTATAATTTCTGTCAATCTCTCCATCATCATACTTTTTGTCAATCTCTCCATCCCTCTCATACTTTCTGTCAATCTCCATCCCTCTCACCCTTTCTGTCAATCTCTCCATGCATCTCATACTTTCTGCCAATTTCTTCATCCAACATACTTTCTGTCAATCTTTCCATCCCTCTCACCCTTTCTGTCAATCTTTCCATCCCTCTTATACTTTCTGCCAATCTCTTCATCCCTCTCATACTTTCTGTCTATCCTTCCATGCATCTCATACTTTCTTTCAATCTCTCCATCCCTCTCACCCTTTCTGTCAATCTCTCCATCCCTCTCACCCTTTCTGTCAATCTCTCCATGCATCTCATACTTTCTGTCTATCTTTCCATGCATCTCATATTTTCTGTCAATCTCTCTGTCCCTCTCACCCTTTCTGTCAATATCTCCATCCCTCTCATACTTTATATCAACCTCTCCATCCCTCTCAAACTTTATATTAATCTCTCCATCCCTCATACTTTCTGTCAATCACCCCATCCCTCTCACCCTTTCTGTCAATCTCTCCATCCCTCTCACCCTTTCTGTCAATCTTTCCATCCATCTTATAATTTCTGTCAATCTCTCCATGAATCTCATACTCTCTGTCTATTTTTCCATCCCTCTTATAATTTCTGTGTATCTCTCCATCTCTTTCACCCTTTCTGTCAATCTATCCATTCCTCTCATATATGTCTTGTCAATCTCTTCATCCCCCTTTAGAATTTGGGATTTGCTTTGGTGTCCTCTAATTGGGGACACAAAAGTGACCAAAATAAATATTTGGGATCTTTATCCTTCTTATTCTTTATTTTTTTCTTCACTTATGGCCTCTATGTTGATCGTTCCCCAGGTGAGGAAGGCAATGGGTTCTGTCCCCAGGCCGGGACATACCAAAGTCCTTAACAATGGTAGTTGTTATTCCCTGCATTAAGGGGAATCACAACAACAGACTCTTAAACTTTGTCAATCTTTACATCCCTCTCATACTTTCTGTCCATCTGTTCATTAATTAGCACAACGAAAAACACTAGAAGGATCAGTGATATCAATTATAATGTCATCTGTTTTGTCGGCAGACTCTATAGCCAGTGTTTATCCCTCGCGCCCTATTCACACTGTGGAGTGAGTGCTAATCTCCAACATTTCATTCAACACATCCAAGATAAAGTGTGAAATCGGATAGATGTCTGTGGTTTGTCTCATTGTTCTCCAATCCATCTATTGAGATTAAGTATGGTCGTTAAACAGACTGACTTGCCGTGTCTTGGACCAGTCCTGAGGAGATCGAAGGCCATACAATATCACTGCCCTTTAGGTGAACGAGGGTTTCAGTATAGGCCCGTTTGTTGTCTGAATGTCCAATTTCCTCAGGTTGGGATTTTGTGTGATTACAAATCCTTGCAGATTAATTTAACTTATTTTTGCCAAATAACCTCCGAACTAAATGTTTGTTTTCCTCCTCTTCACCGGCTGCTGTGTTGTTAAGGGCGTGTAAAAGGACGGAGGTGATGAATTGTTGTGGTGGTGTCGCCATAGCAGGGATTACAGACTCACACTATAGTCACTGACGTTACAATGGTGACTGAGCCTAGCAGGGATTACCGAATATAGCAATCTGTACATGGTCATCGGGAGGATATAACAATCTGAACATGGGCTTCGGGGGAGGGGGAGGGGGAGGGGAGGGGATATAACAATCTGTACATGGTCATGTGGGATATAATAATCTGTACACAGTCATGGGGGATATAGTTATATGTACATGGGGTTAGGGGATATAACAATCTGTACTTGGTCATCGGGGGGATATAACAATCTGTACTTGGTCATCGGGGGGATATAACAATCTGTACATGGTTTTGGGGGATATAATAATCTGTTCACGGTCATGGGGGGATATAACAATCTGTACATGGTTTTGGGGGATATAATAATCTGTTCACAGTCATGGGGAGATATAACAATCTGTACATGGTTTTGGGGGATATAATAATCTGTTCACGGTCATGGGGGGATATAACAATCTGTACATGGTTTTGGGGGATATAATAATCTGTTCACAGTCATGGGGTGATATAACAATCTGGACATGGTCATGGGGGATATAATCATCTGTACATGGTCACGGGGGGATATAGTAATATGCACATGGTCATGGGGGATCTAATCATCTGTACATGGCCATGGGGGGATATAGTAATCTGTACACAGTCATGGGGGGATAAAGTAATATGTACATGGTCACGGGGGATCTATAGTCACTGACGTTACAATGGTGACTGAGCCTAGCAGGGATTACCGAATATAGCAATCTGTACATGGTCATGGGTGATATAATAATCTGTACATGGTAATGGGGGATATAATAATCTTTACATGGTCATGGGGGATCTAATCATGTGTACATGGTCATGGGGGAGCTAATCATCTGTACATGGTCACGGGGGGATATAGTAATATGCACATGGTCATGGGGGATATAATAACCTGGGCACAGTCATGGGGGATATAGTCATATGTACATGGTCATGGGTGATCTAATCATCTGTACATGGCCATGGGGGGATATAGTAATCTGTACACAGTCATGGGGGGATAAAGTAATATGTACATGGTCATGGGGAATATAATAATCTGTACATGGTAATGGGGGATATAATAATCTGTTCACGGTCATGGGGGGATATAACAATCTGGACATGGTCATGGGGGATATAATAATCTGTAGACAGTCATGGGGGGATATAACAATCTGGACATGGTCATGGGGGATATAATAACCTGGGCACAGTCATGGGGGATATAGTCATATGTACATGGTCATGGGTTATATAGTAATATGTACAAGGTCATGGGGGGATATAGTAATATGCACATGGTCATGGGGGATATAATAATCTGTACATGGTCATGGGGGATCTAATCATCTGTACATGGTCATGGGGGGATATAGTAATATGTACATGGTCATGGGGGATATAATAATCTGTTCACAGTCATGGGGGATATAACAATCTGTACATGGTCATGGGGGGATATAGCAATCTGCACATGGTCATGAGGGTTATAATCATCTGTACATGGTCATGGGGGATATAATAATCTGTACATGGTCATGGGGGATATAATAATCTGTACATGGTCATGGGGGAT